CGGCCCCCTCTCCCCCGCCGGCTGCGGCAGCGCCCTTTAATACCCATCACTGCTTTTTCTCCCCCTCCTTTTTTTTTTTTCTTTGCCTCGGTTTTTTGTTTTCCAGCCTGCTCCGCCAGCGCGCTGAGAACAGTCTCTCTTCCACTCACTTGATTCGCAGGTTTGTTTATCTCTTTGGGGGTCTTTTCCTCCCTTTTTTTTTTGCTGCCCGGCTCACTCCACCCCCGAATTTTATCTAGTTGTAGCAACTTGCTGCTTTTTTTTTTTTTTTTTTTAATTATTATTGGTATTTTTTTCACTGACGCCTCCGTGCGTTTTTCGATTGCAAGTCGTCCTTGCAGTCCGGTTTTTAACTGCATTTTGTCTGCAGATCTTCCCTTTGTTTGCACACATCCCCTTTTATTTTTTAATTTTTTTTTTCGTCGTTGTTGTTGTTCGTTGTTAAAGTCACTCTTTTTTTGGGGGGCGCTGTATTTAAACACTTAAAATGCACTGCTATCTCCTGAGCGTGTTTCTCACCGTGGATCTGGCCACCGTGGCTTTCAGCCTGTCTACCTGCAGCACCCTCGACATGGATCAGTTTATGCGCAAGAGGATCGAGGCGATCCGGGGGCAGATCTTGAGCAAACTGAAGCTCACCAGCCCCCCGGACGAGTACCCCGAGCCCGAGGAGGTGCCCCCGGAGGTCATCTCCATCTACAACAGCACCAGGGACCTGCTGCAAGAGAAAGCCAACCACAGAGCCGCCACTTGCGAAAGGGAGAGGAGCGACGAGGAGTATTATGCCAAAGAAGTTTACAAAATAGACATGCAGCCTTTTTACCCCGAAAGTAAGTCCTCTGTGTTTGTGCATGTGTGTGTAATTTCGCCCCCGAGGCTTGGCAGTGCCCAGCACCTTCAAATACCAGCCCCATGCATCATCATCTGCCGCCTTTGCTCGGTTTGCTCTTACCCTCGGCATCTCTTAGGTGGTGGCTTCTAGGGTTTCGTTTAGGTGGCGGGGTATACGTATGCCTGGGTGGGTGGGTCGGGGGGGTGTCAGCTGTCCCCCAAGACTCGTGAGGTTTCCGATCCCCTTTGAAGTCGCTCAGGAGTCCCTAAAGGTGCCTCTGCTTTCCACCACCATGTACCTGAGCAAAGCTCCCCCCGCCCAGGATCCCACTCCCTCCCCGGCACTGGGTTTAGCTCCCCCACAGCCCCGTGTGCAGCCTCCAAAAAGAGCCAATATCTTTCCACTGCTGTTGTTTCCCTTGGAGTGTCTGGATCGGGCAGGTTTCCATCTCTCCATAACTGAAAAGAAAAGGAGGTCTTTAAAAAAAAAAAAAAAGTCACCAGCTCCTTTTCTGTCTGCACCCCTCCAGAACATTGTCCCGCAGACTGCTATTCAGATTGGTGCTCAGAGAGGACAGAGACATAGACATCCTTCCTCTTCTTCCCACTTTAGCCTCCTGTTTCAGTTCATGGACGCTTTCATTTCAGGTACAGAAAAAGTTTTCCCTTCTGGGTAGCCTCGGTTCTTGGAACCTGTCTCAGCCCGTCTGCCTTTTGCTGTTTTTAACGACCTTCTGGTGATCCATGCCACGTTTTACACACACACACACACACAAAAAGGGATACAAATGCTCTGTGCTGACCAAATCCACTTAGAATGATTAATAATCATAACGACATGCCGTTTTGTTTTGGTAGTGAAGTTTAAGTGTATAGAAAAAAAAAAAAGAAAAAGCACCGCACTCCCTTAAAAGAATCTAGATCATCATCATACCGAGGAAAGTGAAATACCAGAAGCAGAAAATAACTTCACCGTTCGCATATCCAAAACCTAGTCCCTACTCTTTTCATTTAGCTTGCTTTTCTCTCTCTTCCCTCCCCCGCCACTTGATGCCCTATATGCTTGCTGTCTGTTTTTGAAAAGCACATACCTCTTGCTTAAATAGATAATGCAGCCATCTTGGTAACTTTATCCTAGAGTTTCTAATTGCATTTTCCCCTTACTTATTTTTAGTTTAGCAAGTTGTAGCTTTGGGGCTTGCTCCGTCTTGCATGTGATAGTCCCAGGATGCCAGCCAAGGTATCTGAACCCCACGCTCGGTGCAGCTGCCTCCCGTTCTTCCTTTATTCTTAAATGACAGCATCAGGTACAGGACATCCTGGCAGTCAGAGCCGCTTGATTATTGTAATTATGGCACCATCCATAATAGTCATGATAAATACACTCCACCCTTGTTACCCTAGGGGAAGAAATACTTTTTTTTTTTAAAAAAAGAAGTATATTTGGAGCCAAGTGGGTACGAGTAGAGAGGTTCAGTATAATTCATAGCCACAGCGAGAACACAGAAATCATGCCTGTTTTCCACGTTGGTATACTGCAGTATTTTGCTGGTGGTTTTGGTGGAAGTCAGCGCTTCGTTTTGAGACCTATCAGATCATGCCCTGAGCAGAGGGATGAGCACCTACGGGCAAAGGTTAGGAAGACCGATAGCAGTGCCTTGGCTTGTGGAGTTGACCCTGTAACAGAGAGTCTCTGAGAATTGTAAAACGCATCCGTTCTGAGCACATCTGTCCTTTTTCCTCACATGAGCAAACTACAAAGAACCGATAGTCCAGAATGCAGCCGCATACTTTCCAGAAAATTAAAATATCCGTGGTGCATGACTTGGATGGTGTTGACAAAGGACAGTCTATTTTTAAAATGTTGTCAGAGGCCAGATTTGTACTGAAGTATCGATAGAGGTTTTGGAAGAGCAAAGGAGATTGCAGGTATCTACCAACAGAGTGCATCAGACGTTTGGGATCGGAGGGCCAGTTAGCAGCAGATCCAGTACTACTGTGCAAGGGCTGTCGCTAACATCAGAGTAAGTAGGTTAACTGTTTTTCCACTGCTCTCTAGTTATGCTGGATGGAGCGAACCTTTCCAAAAAAGACAGAAAGGAAGAAATCGCTCCACCATATTTTAAAGGAAGAAATTGAAAGCACAGCTCTGGCGGCCGCGGGCGCTTTCTCCTAGACGTCTCGGAGTGAATTTTTTTAACTCTAGCGTTTCTGCTGCATCGGAGGGAGGCAGGAGGGAGAAGGGGATCAGTGTGAATGCACTGGAGGTCAAAAGCTGCTGGAAGGAAGGCATGGGAAAGATCAGTGGTTCAGTTTTTACCACAAGTTGTTAGCGTTCAGTAACTGACTACGACCCAAATATTACAAATATGCTCTAATTATACTCATAGTCAGCAATATATCACTACAGATCGCTGATAGGTCTTTGTGGGGCATTTTGTAAAGTTCAGACTAAATATTTTTAGCAATGAGGAGATTTAAAAGGAAAACTATAAGAGATACTGTATATACCCTAAGGCATATTTTGTCTTAAATATTATCCTTGGCCAACTGTACTGTATAAATACAGTAAATATGAATAGAACTGGCAAGATGCCAATCTCCTGGGATGAATTTTAGTCAAGAAGGTATTTATGGGATATAAATAATACTGTGTCAACATTTAAAGAAGGGATCTGATTAGTTTTGAATTTATTCATATTAATCTTTTCACATGCTGTTAGTTTAAGGCTCAAAGTAAAGTTATGCTAAGGTTTACTGATAGTTTGCACTGAGGAAGTAAGGGGGCATCTGGCATCTGGCTTGACAGTCCAGTTGAGGTTAAAGACACATCAGGTCAGAATGTATGTGGAAATTCAGCGAGTCAGGGACTGCCGGACCCAAAACCAACAGATGTGAAAAGTAGCGGCAGAAAAAAAAAAACTACAAAGAGGTTTGAAAAAACCAAAGAGCTTTTGTCTGTCAAGCATGCCTGCCTGCGTTGTGCTCGTGACAGCATGGATTAGATACCGAAAGTTTGAATCTCTCCTAAGTCCAGTTGGCAGTCAGAAATAGAGTTGGTTTACGGAGCGGTTTAAAGAGGGAGGTGGGATACGGAAGCTGAGCACAACATCAGAGAGAGTTCTTGCGAATTCTGTGCCTAGGCGAAGTTACCTGAGTAGATGCTCAATACCGATTTCTGTGAAAGCTGGATCACATTACAGTTTTATTACTTACCAGTTCTTCATTGATTATCTGGGGCCTGATACTTAAGCTAGTTATTTATTTGAGTCTGGGTGAAAATCGCCATTGCACTGATAATAAACAGCAATCTAATGCCAGCACAGTTAAGCATTGCAAATTGTAATACTAATGCATAACTGGGATACTCTAGAAAAACAGGCAACACGTGTATGCGGGGCGTGGGGCCCAATTCTGTCATCTTCATTCATGGCAATTTTTCTCACAGTCAGTGAGCTGGTCGGTACTGATGGCTTAAGGCTAACACAGGTAAATTTTTAAGTTTTCTGCATTCTTGGAGATAGGTCTGTAAGTACTCAGTAGCCTAAGAGATCACAGTTCTTCTGGGTATGGGCCTGCTTTTAAACTATTTTAGTATGAAGGAGCCTCCATGGGTTCCAGCCTGCGCTGGGCAGTAGGATTAGTCTTCTCAGGAGCTCTGTACCATGAATATTGCTTTACATAGACCGTCGTTCTGCTGAATGTTCACCTCATGAAAGACAACATTATAAACTGGCTGGGCACAATGACATGCTTCTACTTTATCAACAAGGACTCGATTTACCAGCAATTATACGTATATGGGCTCCTTGTCTTCAGGGTACCAGAATTACTCGTGCAGGAGCGGCCGTGCTCCACGTCTACTGGCGCTGACTGCATCATTACCATGATGTTAACAGCTATGGCTGCGCAGCTCGCATGTATTTGCATTTAGCAGAACACAGAACTTAAACTTTCAGGATTTCCTATCTTGTTAATGATATGGAAACAGTCTCAGAAGGAATACCTTACTTTAAAACATTCTAGCTATGCTGGCCCTGTGGATATGCTCTGGAGCACCTCTTGTAGGAGGCATTTGCCAGGCTTACTCTCTGGTTTGCAGAGGGGACCTGAAGCAATGTGAAGGCTTCCCCGAGGAGAGACGTGGGAGGAACAGAGCCTTGCTCCTTGTTCATGAATGGCACTTACTGTAGTCTTCCTAGGTGGTAATGAAAAAAAACAGGAAATTGCAAATGGCTTTAAAAAGGGGCAGGGTAATTTTCTGGACAGTAGTCCTCTACGTACTAAGAGGGATAATAAAATAACATGCTCTGGTGCACTAACCAAGGGCAGCTGAAATCAAAGAGAGCTCTCTTCTTCCACTCCCACTCAGATGGAGCAGATGGTGGGGTGCACCACGTGTGTTTCCTGCCTGCCTTCTGATTCACCAGCGACTTGCTGTAAGCAGGGCGCCAAGCTGGGAGAGGGGGAGGTCCACAAGCCAGTCTGGCATGGTACGTGGTCGCTGTGTTTATTCCGGAGGATAAAGCCTACAGAAAAGCAAAACACCCATGACCCACCTCTTTAACGCTGCAAGGTCAGAAGACCAGCAAGACAGAAATGTAGGGCTATATTCCCGAGTCCTTTCCGTAACCCACCTTGAGTTTATCTCTGGTGACTGTTTTAAAGAGGAACTTTCACTCTGATTTGGTGAGTTAAAAGGTTAGATGTGCATTACTGCTCCTGCCGCTCCCCAGCCCGCTGGCAGCGTCAATGTTTTACAGTCCCAGAGACCTATCTGGAAATGTGCCCTTGTCTTCTGCTCATGGCTGGAGATGTGCAGGGAGTGCCCAGAGCTCATGCCACTCTTGCTGGCTCCACTTAATTGCAGGACTGGGTGTGAGTAGGTGATTGTGTGAAGAAAGCAGAGCATCTTCTTCATTAGCTGCCAGTTTTAGCCTTGTTCATCCTTGGTGCACTGCGTGAGAACAGTAGTGGTTATCAGGATGGCTGTGTTACT